CCCCGGCACCCGCGCTTTTCCACCACCAGCCCGTCACTGGCTGGCACCACTTGGCTGTGCAGTGTTAGTATATTATTTTATTATCGTTTCATTTTGCTTATTCTACACTAATTGCGTTACATTTGTTTTCATAAACGTTATGCTTTTAAAACTAAGTAGATTTTGTTCGTTTAAGTAGAGATCTAACAAACCTCTCTTGTATCCCGTTTAACTCGAATTTGTCCTTTTATTGTGTTTGCTTTTTTGTTTGTTGGTATTATGTCTCTCATCCCAGATCTACCTACGTACAACCAAATCGATAACGCTTTTTGAAGACAGAACTTTGGATGCTGATGCATAAACATAGGTACATGTATTTATTATGATATTAAAACTTATTTTCACCGAATTAAGTGATTTGGAGACAAAATAAAAAAAGATGAACTTAACAAAATCAATAATGTTAAAAGTTAAAAGCTTTATTTTCTACTAATTAAACCGCCTATCATATGTTGCTGTTGCTATGGTCAACATTTATCAAGTATCGCTTTGGTTTCGAGTTATTTTTCACATTTATACAATATTTGGAAGGTTGAGGGAAAAATTGTAATTCGTGGTAAACTTTACATGACAGGAGGAAAGTAAACGCTCTAGTTCCCCTAAAAACAATCTTTCATCAGACTTATCGCCACAAAAGTAACATATAGAGATGGCCTAAGTAGTAGACAATAAAACTTCTAATTTGTCCTTTATGATACGACGTTGTTATTATCTTTAAACATAAAGATTTTATTACATTCGGTGCTTTAATTTATCATCACTTTGTATTGTATGCACGGTGGAATCGCAACTTTGTTTGAAAAATGAGCTTTTAAACTTAATTCAACGACGAATTATTCACTTCAGGTTAAGTAAAAAGTACAAATTCCAGCGCTTTCAAGCAGTAATAAAAAATCAGTTGTTTGAGAACTAATAGAATGTTTCAAGTTATTTAGAAAAACATATCTTACTTTTTTCAAGAAAAATATGTTTGTAACATTACATATTTTTTCATTACAAAATTTTCATTTTCGTTACTTAGCAGTCAACTTCTATTTCATTACCATTTTAAAATTTTAAGTATCAAGTTATCGTAAAAACAGTTTATAAATGGAAAAACGTAACTACTATTTTAAAAACGGTTTTTTGAGAAAACTGTTCTTGAACTGTCAAAAAAGATTTTCTGTGATTAAAGTATATTAAGTTGCTAATCCAAGAGAATAAAAGCTTTCTGCTATCACTAGATAATAAACGAAAACAAAAATGTCATTTGCGTCTCAGAGTGAATCAGAAATTGAAAATTTTTATGTTTAAATAAACAAACGCGCTCTCCTCTCCACGTTATTATATTTCACTACTACTGGTTTCGGCTAACAACCTTCATCAGACTCTTTCTACAAGAAATTGTGAATTTGTTTTTGTGGCTTACAGTCAAATTGTATCAAATTATTATATTTAACATAAAAATCCAAAGATTAAAATAAAATGATTGCAAAAAAATGAAAAACTGAAAAATTGCAAAATCTCAAATTGAAACAATTTAGTAAAAATGAAATTGTATTAAAAAAAATGTAATCCAAGATTCTATTATTTATCAATATAAAATCCAACTTCCGTTCTTCAGAATCAATGATTAAAACGGATTAGGCGTGGGTGGGCGGGACCACTTTTTACTTTGTTTTAAACTTTAGATTCAACAACTAGTCAAAATAAATCTGGGAAATAGAAAAAAGGGATGGGCGGGGCTGAATTCAGCTTTTTTCTGACAAGTCTTATCAGCAAGCAGTAGCCCCGCCCACCCACCCTGTATTTTCTTAGAGAGTATGTCATTTGCCAAAATTAGTCTTAGCAAATACTATTTAAATTAATACTTTGTTTTAAATCTTAGATTCTACAACTTGTCAAAATAAGTCTGTGAAATAGAGAAAAGAAGTGGGCAGGGCTGAATTTAGCTTTTTTTTCGCCTGCGTGGGTTGTGTATGTATTTTTTGTCTTGTGACTTTTCGTTGTTTGTTTCCAAATTTGATGGTAAGCCACAAAAAACATAATAATTTATTTCAGAAAAAGTCTGATGATTAACCGAAACTAATAACACTAAACTAAAATGAACATATAGAGAAAAATGTGTTTACGAACAAACTCCACAACGGAAAAAGCGTGATATAATGAATCAGAAATACCGTGTAATTAAAATCGCTGATGTAAGCGTCATGGCCAACTAGAGCAGAAATTTAAAAAATCAGCCGATATTTAATTTCAGTGCAATATTTTTTTAGATTTCATAGTCCAAAAAATAGACGGTTTGCTTTAGTTCTTCTTTCAGTGATACCGTTTTGGTTAATCTTTTTATGATACTAGCAATTTTGATCATTTTATTGAACTAAATTACTAAAATGAAATATTAAGTTTCCTAAAATTTGCTATATTTTGTAACATTTTGGATTTAAGTTATCTGTCAAATTAGCTCAAAACACATCTTACAGGTATTCGGAAGACAAATTTTTATTTGTCATTTTATGCCCACTGAATTATTTAAAAATAAAGAATGCTATATATGTCTTCCATAAAACAGTACCATAGTGATTCAAAAAATATTTAATAGGAATCTTCAATCTGTTTTTTCACTAGGTTTTTAACAATTGCTGACGTTTTCCTTATTTCTTTTGTATCTTCATAAAAAATACATTATCTTGAAATTAAAAAATGCATAAATAGTTTACTTTAATTCTTTCTCTTTTCAAATTTTAATTTCTGTTACTGATGGCTACATGCTCTTCTGGTATTGAACCATTTTAAACAATAAAAAAAAAAGGAAAGCACAATGAATGAAGCACAAAATCGCCTAAAAAGACGAAGGAAAGAAGATATACTGCAACGCAATAAAGTAAAGTTCGACGAAAGATATAGTATGATTGGCTTACTTACGGTAATTTTTACGAGTTCATTACACTGGGGACACTAAATCGAAGGTAAACGGATTTTGTAAGAGCAAAAAATAAAAAATATTTCAATGCGTTGCCTACCTGGACATGGGTCAGTTGCGCGCAACGGTCAAAAAAAATTGCACATATTTTTAAGGGTCAATACTTGGAGAAATAATTCAACTTTCACACAATTTTACAAGTATTCTTTTTATTGCTTTTAAATTTTCTACCAATAGGTTCTTCTTATAAAAAATAAAACAATTAAAAAAGTTACTTTTTATAAATCTATAAGAAATATTTTTCCAAAAGCAGATCTTCAGATCTTTTTATACCAGTACTGCTAGATTTACTATAAAACTCATGGGACTTTTTATCAGGCAATGACGACCCTTATAAATCCCTATTTGCGGGACCTTTCTGAGGATTAAACCTGGCACATGGGTAAACCAACCGCGGCGCGAAACTGACCAATATCCAGCCTACCGTACTGTAAATTTCCTTTGCTTGTATTTATTGAATTTTATGAAGGATCTACTATAAAATGCTTATGAAGTTAAAGTCTTAAACGTATCTTTCGTCAAACTTTATAACCACTGTTTTATATTATAATTCAAATACGCCCATGATTTTTTAGTACGTGTTATCATTTTCGTTAAAAATAAAATGTAATTATTAGATCGAGATGTTCCTGCATAAAAGATTCATTTTCTCAATTTTCCTTCAAATTTTGTTGTTTATAAAACGCCAAAGGACGTGAACAAAATATTAAACATCGAACAAACTTGGGGATTTTTTTATGTGCGATAAAATTACTACTAAATCTTGCCTAAACACGTTTTAGATATACTATCAATTTATACAGTCTCTAATATAAGTTTATCTTCGTTTTTTATTAAAATAGCCCAAATAATAATTTAAAGCTAAAACAAGAACAAAAAATGGTATGTTGCATATCTACGAAGGTATTTGTCGCTTTCAAAAGTTATGGCATTTAAAATTTAAATAACTCCTTTTGCACCACCTTACCCTAAATAAAATACCATATAAATTTCAACTCAACTAATGACGGACAGTTAAACGCAAGGTTTAAGACAGAACTTAAAACGTATTTAATGGCTTCCAAAGCAATTTAATAACACAATAAACTGCTGAAAGTAAATCATTTCAAAGGTCAGGTTTGAAATTACGGAAAGACATAACAACAACAAAAAATCAAGCAGTTTAATATCGAGAACTAAAAAAGGCACAAAAATACTCAGTTCTCTGAAAAGTCGAATATTGAACCATAAATTTTAAAACGTAACTGCAATTGTGTACAGTCACGATGTGACCACTGCTTTGTACAAACTGTCTTTAAATTGATAACCCAAGTTGCAATCAGTGCAAAAAGAATTTTTATTGGTAGTTCGTGTCTTATAAATTTTATCAAAAACTAGCTTTGGATCGAGGTTTGTAAATTGTGTAAAATTTTTCTCGGTTGTCACGTTTTACAAACGTGATCCAGGTAACGAGTCACTCTGGTGTTGAATGTGTGCGTGTATTAGAACTTCAAAAATATTATTACTTTTATTGTATGAAGTAAACAGTGATCTGACAACGAATGAATATTTCCTGTAGTTGAACACTGTAATTCTAAATGTAATTCTATGTTAGTTGCGGTTATTTAGGCATCAGGCATTAAATTTATGAGTGTCCAAAAATATGCACTACATATTTAGTTTTGAAAGTCAAAAGAACAAGTTCAACCCACAGGCGCTGGTTTATAAATCTTTAGCACACTTGAATACAATAGAACTAATGTAATAAAATAAACTTCCTAATCTGTCTCAAGGGTCGGGCCCTCTCTACTCCACGAGTTTAAAGTACACTTGATGTAAGATTGAAATCATTGATTTTTTTAACATATGATCTCAAATCGATTCATAAGTCCCTTATCTAATCATAATCGTTTTTTTATAGTTTCCTGTAGGTGAAGTGTATGTAGAAAAGTGTTCGTAGATGTTCTTGGCTGGCACGTGATTTCTTGGAAAGTATTCAATGTTGTTATCTCTATTCCAGGAATGGGCTTGGTATCTTCGCCCTTCGCCTCAATGAACCCATTCGCTTTGCCAACGTGTAACTCTCAGGGCTATGGCTCACCTCTAGTGGGCACCACCAAGTAGCCAACGGTGGGCCAGTCGAGCCCAGTAAGTCAACACAGCACAACTCCCACACCTCAAGAAGACAACAGTGCAATGTATTCAGTGTAACGTGTACCAAAGACAAGTGACTACTAAACAATTTTAATCATTATTACAATCATAAAATAAGTTACCGAAAAGTAAAGTTAGTGTTGTTGATTTTTTAATAGCCATAATAAGCCAATTTATTGAAAAATATTTTAATTGTACAGTCTGGTTGATTTATAGTTTGTTGGAACAGTCCTGTGTTTCCTACCAGCAGATACCTACTTAACTGTGATCACGTGAAACGCGCCAATAAATACTTATGTGATAGTAACGACCATATAAGTATTTATGTCTATGGCCTAGGTTATAGATATTTCTGCACTATAACAAAATAATCTAAATTGCAAGTTTAGCATATCTCTACTGAATATACATATCGCTTCGAGCTGGGATTCTATAAAGAAACGAAATGATTTGTAGTTTTGTAAAATAAATTGTATATATGAATCTTTATTTGTGAAATGTACAAAGTTGTAAAGTAACAGGTAGGTTACGTAACAACGAGTCAACGATTATATATTTTGTAAATTTATCATATCATAGTGCAAAGTTTTCGTGTAGCTGTACATAAAATAGATATAAAAGCAATTTTAGTGACGAATATACATTACATACGTGTCTTTACAGTCCTCTTTTTCCGAAGTGAGACCATTCGAGTATACGATTGTGCAAAATTCTAACCCGTCTTTTTTACTTGCAAAATTTATATTCGTCATATTTCTCAGTTCTACGCTTCCAAGTCAATTGTCTGACGCATATTTTACTTTGAGGCAACATTAGCTCGAACAAAATGATTTCCTCAACGGGATTTATACAAGCTAAAATGACACACTTACAACATTTCCAACCAACCTCACCAATGAAAGTTATTCAAGGATTAGTGCCTTTATTGAGGTAAAAAAATAAAAAAATTGAATGACTCTTCCACTAGTACTAGATTCAAATCATTTTGTTCCGAGCCGCAATCTCTGTATTTTTAAACACCACAACGAATTTTAAAACTTCATTTCCTCCAACGCACTTGAAAACTGACTTGGAGCGTATATACAATTGTTTTGTATTAGTTGTACATATGTACCAAACCAGTTGATAGTTTAATTTCGTCAGTAATCTCGTTTTTGGAAACCGTGTAAAGTTCCCACGAATCGATTTTACTCGACCTTTATTTATTTTTTACACCAAACAGAGTGCAAATATTTTAATTTTGTTGTGTACAAAAACCTACATGTTTTCTTAAAGATTTCTTAAAAATATAGATGTAAAATAAAATTTTTAAGATACTCCTAACACCGTTTTTTTCTCCACACCCTTCACGCTCTAGAGGTCCATATGGGGCTCGATAACATACAAATCGCACCCTTTGCTCAAGTGCCACTCGAAAACTCACCCTATTGTTAGCCAAAATGAAAGCACTCGCGATCGTGATAGATAAATAAAGACGCAAATCTGAGGGTACGCATAGCGCACATTATAAGAGCGTTTGCCCATTTTAAAAAGGTTCATAAAAAAGCGTTCACGATATTCAACAACAAATAATTATGAGCAGGATTTTTTTAATTTTTCGTAAATCAAAGAAATATCTTTCTTCGTGATTATTTATTTTTCGGCTAAATGTTTTTAACAATTATCCAAAAACTGTTGATTAAACGTACTTTTGTAAAAAGAAAGTCAATGTTCACTATTTCCCGGACTTTACTTTACATCATATACTACATATAGTATCTACCATTTGGTTGTGTGGTAGGTGTGACCTTCACAAGAAACTTGTTTCTATATATTTTTCTTCCTTTTACCAAAACTTAGTCGATTTATAATAATTACATGGTAAAAAAGTATTAAGTTTTATACAATACGCCTCAAGATTGGCTGAAACGCACAACTTAGTGCGTCGAAAGATTAAACAGTATTAAGAAAAAAAATACAAATTGCTCTAGAGAATTAGTCGTCGTCGAAATCTTGTTAGCGAATTCGTGAAAACACAAAGCGATTGAGCGAAATTGAAACCGACACCAGTAGCACATAACAAGCGGAGGCAATGGCATTAGCCGGGGGCTAGCAGGGGTCCCATCCCTTCGCTTGACAGATGGTTGTCGAACATAAAAGGTCATATCGGTGACGTCACGTTATGTACCTAATTTCATGTCACACTGATGCGACCACATCGATTCCGGATGGACTTCTTTATGGCGTTGGTGAAGGCGGTGATAAATCAATTTAAGTTGTGAATCAATAGCGAAAATAGCCCGTCACGTAAGACAATACGTAGTTGTTTACCTGTCATGCGAAACGCAAACAAGCAACATGTCGCTTAGGCGATAATTGTTGTTAACAAACTGGAAAACTTAGGTGTAATGCAATATGTTGTTGGAAGGAATTTGCATCTCTCGGATTTACGTGGTTTTTAAATTCGGTCGATAGATCAGTAGAGGAAAACATGACCTAAAAATGAAGAAAAATGAGTCTGGTCGTAATGCGACATTTTGTTAGTTGTCAACATGCAAGAAACAGATTGATGGAGGGTACTGGTTGTTAAATTAACGTGACGCGGCGGTTTTGGTAATGTTTTAAACAAGTTGTTTGTGTTTTCGTCGACAAATGTTTACTGGTGTGTACTAACAACTATAACAACTAAATCAAATGGTGTATACTTAGATTAAACAGAAAAAAACTAAAAACACATAGGAACTATGTAAAAGCAACTTTGCCAACAACATATAAATTAATTTACTTTTTGTCGCATCAGCATAACTTTAATAACTACCTGTAGTAGTAAGGAGTTCATCACTATCACGTAGTAGTGCTAAATACATGTTATCTACGCAAAAACGCGTTACTTTTGGAACCTGTGATTATTTGTGGCAGCGAATGTAACGAATAAACAATAGATATTAACCATCGATTATTGACAGTTCTAATTATAACTTTTATATCTGACCGGATAAATCCATTTTTAAAATTTGCATTTTTATGTTACAAAATTATTCGTATTTTTCATACAGTGGAAATCTGCGTGATGGTTTGCGAAAAGTTTAGTGTTTTTTAGGTTGAAGATTACTTTTTGTGGGCCAAAAATATCTCAATTTCTCCTAAATTTAGACCGGTTAAAAAATACGTAAAAAACAACAGTCCACTACGGTACTCCACAGGGTTCAATTATAACACCGACACTCTTCTGAATATACGTAAACGACGTTACACACTCGTTTAATAAAGGATATTTTGCATTTTTCGCTAATCTAATTTAACCAAAATGCATTAAATAACGTTCTCTCTCTGTAAGAGTAACTTCCACAAAAGATGCATATATTTTCTGGAGTATTTACATTTATATCCTACTTTGTCGTGGGAGTATCACGTAAACTATCTTCTAAGTAAATTGTCCGCAAAATTATACTCTCGTTGCAAATTACGTGAACTTGCCTCAAGCCAAATCAAAATACGGCATGTGACACAAGTAGATATACACAGTATTATTTCATACTCATTTTCACCTACTTACAAATAGTTATGTATTATACAAGTGACAAAAATAATCCAGTATAGCTGAATGAGTGTAGTTTACGAGTGGCATTTTTGTCACGTGTATAATAATAAGTTTTCTCTTACACCTGTTTATATTCCATCCAAAAATTATAAATTTCATATCTATATCTATACTTATATAATAAAGCTGAAGCTGTTGTTTATTTGAACACGCTAATCTCAGAAACTACTGGTTCAAATTCAAAAAATCTTTTTGTGTTGGATAGTCCATGTATCATATCTACATATAGGCTATATAAAATCACGCTACGATCATTAGGAGCGAAGTAGCAATGAAAAATTCGGAAAAACGGGAAAATTATTCCTCCTTTGACAGCTTCCGTTGCTTACGCTGCTTAAACGGTTAAAGTTACGTAAAAATCATGTATGACGAAATTGTTCCCCTCTAAAAGTTCTAAAGAAAAGTCCGCGACAGCATATGTCTATCTTTTAAGGTCGAGTCAGTATAACCCTTTTTATGGTAATGAAATTTGTTCTAAAATAATAATGCATTATGTATAAAATTCTCGCGTCACAATGTTTGTAACCGAACTTCTCCGAAATGGGTAAACCGATTTGTATGAAATTTTTTGTGTCTATTCGGTAGGTCTGACAATAGGTTGTAAACTATTTTGTAAACCCCTAAGTGATAAGGGTGGCCCACCCTAAAAAATTTTTGTCTATTTTTTGGACAAAATTTTTTATTTTTATTTTTTTAAGAATTGGCATCAAAAAATACACATAACCCTAAATTTTCACCTTTCTACCACCAACCCCCATTTTTTAATCGTCTATATAATAAAAATCAATTGCTGTTCCTGTTAGTCTCGCTAAGACTCAAAAACGGCTTGGCCGATTTGAAGAATTTTTTATATTACGGAGATGGTTTATAAATAAAAAAAAATAAGGAAAACTTAAAAGAACAGTTAAAAAATAAAAAAATTCTAAAAATTTTGTATGGGAATCGCCACGAATTAATTTCAATAGTTGGCGTTTCTGACGGACCTGTCGTCTTACTGACGTGTCATACAAAACTAATTCTTCCGTGCAATTGTGAAAAGTATATTGCATTTCAAATCGTTCTTTGTTTTTCGTGAAAAAAACGTCGTTTATTTTAAGAAAAGTCTTGGTTAAAGTGAATTTAATTACACATTGCGAAAGTTTGTTATTAATTTTGATCTGCCATTCTATTTACCTATATTCACTTTGTTGGTTTCGACAAAACCTCAAACTTTACCGTTATTCGAGGATTTAATTTGAAGTTTTCAATATTTTAAAATTCTCAAGACAAAATTTACAGATTTGATTGACTGTGAAAATAATTCTGTGTCGTTTTATGAAGTTCATTAAAATGCCGAGAAGACGACAACCTCACATAGGTCCACGAAGTCAATCAAATGTGCGACGAACTACCTCAGGTGCAAACCGCAATGATTTATTTCATGGGTAATTCGGATATGGAAGTTGATCAGCGTTGTGCTCATAATCAACATAATCAAACATTGAAGCGAGACATTGAGTGGTATGAATAAAACTGAGTAGATACTTATATTCGAAGTACGAAGTACCTACTTCATTATTACTCTTATATACCTGAGCATCTACTCTATGTACTGAGTACCTACTGGGAAACATTGTATCTCCCCGAACACAAACTGAACATCTACGCGTTTTGTGAGCATTTAATCTAGAAATGAGCATCGGCGTGGCAAATAACTGAGCTTAGAAAACCAGTAGGATCGTTGTAAGAGTGAATTTTAACTAAACATGGTGATTTTCATGAATGTGGAACGTCGTCAAAAGCTGCATTCAGTTTGAAAAACACATTAGGAGCAGGAATATCGAAAACTTTTCATGTAATTAACTTTTATTTATTCATAAATTGTGCAGTGCGTTTTTTCTAATACTGGCCATAGAGATTCCCATCTCAAGGTGTCTACCCCATACTAACTTATATTTTGGTGACTCGATTTTTGCCTTGATGGTTGAACACTGTCACTGTTGTCTTTTTTTGTTGTATCGAGATGCTACTTGAGCATCAACTGTTACTTACTGAAGTATTAGTATCATCTAGAAAAACTAGAAATATTTTGATTTGATATTCGAGTAGATACTTCGTATTTCGAGTATGAGCATCTACTGAGTTTTATTTATATCAACCATTGTCAAAAAATTGATCGAACGTTGTTTCGACAGAACTTCCTTCGCACCAAAAGTATAATGAAACATATTCAGCATTTTCGAGTTGAGTCTTTTCTTCACACAATTTTGTGATGACCTAATCAACATTTACTATCAACACGTTGATATACCACCTTGGATTGGTGCAGTGTAATACTAAAAATAACTGTATTGTATTCCCAAAATTATTTGCGAAAATCGAGTGAGCCATTCCATCAATTTTTTGGGGGGAATAAATAAATATTCTTAACAATTTACCATGCTTACAATAACTTTAAAACGTCTGCAAGATCTCAAAGTATTCATTTTTGCAACTCTTGAGTTATTCACTAAAATAAATTGACTGATCCATATATTTTTTTGAGTCACTGTAAAAGCAAATCTAAAAAATATGGATGCAGTGATAAATTACGAAAATATACTGATGATATTTTCCACATTTTAGATAGGATTTATTCGGCAAAATCTTGAGATGACGTCTTCAAGTTTTTGGGCTTGACAAACAGATATATTTTGATTGAAAACCGACCATGTCAAACAGTAACTTCAAAACGTCTGCAATATTTCAAAATTCAGT